TTATTTATAAATTTTTATTTTTTATAAATTTTAATATCTTGTTTCTTAAGCTCATTCTTCAATCACTCTCTTACGTAGAGATATATATATATATACTGTATATTATTAAAACGCACGTTTTACGTTTTTATTTATGGATTCTTTCTCCTCTCTCTCTTTCTCTCTTCCCCCCCTCTCTCTCTCTCTAATTATTTCGTATCTTTCCAATAAAGATCAACACCGATAATTTTTAAGTTATGAGCGCGATTTTACTTTTTTTGTTACAACGTTTATCTATTCTTTTATCATTGTTCTCGATATAGAGAGACAAATCGATAATTGTTATTACAGATAGAGTGATATGTTAACCGAAGACAATGATCCGACAAAACCAGCAGGGGTTTTAGACAATGCTGGTAACGTGTCTTCCTCGACAGAAGCCTCGGTACAGCATCCTCGCGCCACAAACAATGGTAGATACAACATGCAGCTATATTGGCGTAGAATAGATGCATTGCTATATAGATTCAAAGTTAAATAATTGTGTGGGAGATTTTATTCTTTCCTTTTTACAATATATTTATAAGTAAAAACTTAAATAAGTTAATTTGATTTCTTCATTAATATTCAATTTGTTTGTCGGTAGGCTCATCGTTAATCATATCTTAATCGCTTTGCATTTTGCTATTTTTACATTCACTACAATTATCAATATTGTGAAAATACAATTTGAAAAAGAACGGCAATCAATGTGAACCATTAAGTAAAGATGTATATATGAGAAGCAGACTTCTAAAATGCATTTTATGAAATCCAAGATTTCATTTTTTGAGTTAAAGATGGCATAGTGTTCAATATTGAGAGACTCATATTTTAAGCTACTCTACGATGTTCTGAAAGCATTTCTACCAATTTATATGCTGAAAAAACTCTTAACATTCGAAGTATATTATATTTTTTAATTAGAAACAAACAAAATATATTTGTTTAACAATTTTGTTTAGCAATTTTGTTGAACATTTCACATCTTACTGATTGGCAAAGTTGTTATTTTCTGTGACTAAGGCGCGCAGTTTTCTTGTGGCTTTCTTTCTCATTTTCTAAAAATTATAAATTTTGGACAAAACGCATTTTGAAAATTTGCTCCTGATCATGTTATGAGCAATATAATTAATTCGACATTTATACATATGGATAATACCTGCTTTAATAAAGTCATTAGTCAGCCATTATGCATTATACCCGAATTAATCAAATTTATGTGCGTGCGTGCGTGCGTGCGTGCGTGCGTGTGCGTGCGTATGGTGCGTGTGCGTGTGTGTGCGTGCGTGTGTGTGCGTGCGTGCGTGTGTGTGCGTGTGTGTGTGTGCGTGTGCGTGCGTGCGTGCGTGTGTGTGTGTGTGTGTGTGTGTGTGTGTGTGTGTGTGTGTGCGTGTGCGTGCGTGTGCGTGCGTGTGCGTGCGTGTGTGTGTGTGTGTGTATTGTGTGTGTGTTGTGTGTACACACATGCACACACAAACACAGATATTTTGGAAAACTGCATTTATAAACAAAATAATAAATAAATTAAACATAAATAAATTAAATAAATTAAAAAATTTTAATGAACTCAAATTAAATAACTAATAATATAATTTTATTCATATTAAAAATGATAAAAAACTGAATATTTCAAAAAACGACGAAACATTTTAAATTTAACTAATGTCCATTTCTACCAATGTAGATTAAACATTAATCTCGTTTTAACTTTTTATATATAATCTTCTAGTTCTAACAAGTAAATTAACTCGATATTAAAATTGATCTGCATTGGACTTGTCTTTCTCAGTCGTGAAACATTATAAAGTTAAATCAGAAATAAGTATATACTTAAACTCAAAGGATTCAGAATATAAAACAAAATATTTTGTCATTTTCATACAAGAGACTGAAGTTAAGAACGAGGTGCAAGACTGTCCTGAAAATGATAGCGTACCTGGTGGTGAACTGTATATTGATGAGAATGCCGAAGAAAAGGAGCAGGAGTATCCAGATTCGATGGAAAAAGCAGATTACGGATCTCTATATGGCGCCAACCAATATTATAACAGGTATTTAAATATTAATTGTTGCGCGCTAGACATATAGTTCAGTGATTAAATGTCTCTTAATGAGATTAATTTTATTTTGAAAAAATTTTATTTTGGTTGTGATGAAAAGATATTTAATTTGCTGGAGTTATATATTTTATAATGATAAAATACAGAAGATATACTTGCTATATAAAATACTATCACATTATATCTTTTGATAATTCTTTTTAAAAGATCAGATTATAGTCTCGTATAATCATCGAGCTGCATTTACGTATTACACATGTATAAAATCAATTTGACTTGCACATAAATAGATCTTTATTATCCAAAACAGTTACTTTTTATCATGGCTTTTTCTCTTTCGTAGCCTATATAACTCGCCACCTTATGGATCAACGACAGCTTCGAAAAATGCATCGAGCTTGCAAAGCTCATATTTAAGCTCTTATACATCGTCAAGCTCGATGACGCAGTATCCGTCCTATGCCAGTTACAATAGCGGGACGACGACCTTCCCGAATATGGCGCAAAATATATCATCGGCTTCCCAGGTGAGAACGAACATGATTCATTCGATTTCTTGTTCCATTTTCAACATTGATTTTTTCCCAAATTACGAATAATTTTATTTCCTTTTCTTTCACAGAAATTAGATTATAGCGCTTACAGCAGTAGTTTATACGGAAACGACAGGGTACCGCTCCAGTATTCCGGATATTATCCTGTGCCCGGTTATCATGCGCCACCTACTTCATTCAATATCGGAAACATCAACTTCGCTGGTAATCTTTTAAATGTTACACCGCGGTTTCTTATTTCTTACAAAAGGTAAATGAAATTTCTTTTAAAAAAAAGTAAACTAATTATAACAGCTACATAAACTATTGGATAGTGATACAAAATAAAACTTTTACATTCAAGTCGTTTAATTGGATGGTGATTCAAGTTTAATTTTGAAAATTATATTTAAATATGTCGCGTTAACATTCTAAAATTTTAATATTTTGCCATAACAATTCAAACAAAAATTATCCGCATATTTAATTTTCCTTTATCAAATAGTCGCAATTAATGTTATTTTATATGTGTAAAAAGATTCGACCAAGTCGCTCACGTTGGACGCAAC